TTACAGAAATGTCAGCATTAGTTTTTAAAACAGTCGCACTGTTTGCTAATACGTAATATCAAGCACGTAATTGAATGCGTTACCGGAGGAGGAAGCGCTGTGGCCGGTCTGCGTTCCCGTCGTCTCCTAAGTTCCTCATGAATTCGTGTTTTAATCCACAAGCGATTTTTTTATCCCACGACAGAGAGTCGTCGCAGCTCAAGTCGCCTCTTCTTGTTCATACTTGTGCAACACTTCAGACTAGACTCTACTAAACTCTAATGAAGTGCGCGAGCGCTCAGGTCAAAGACAGCAGCAATCCCAAAAGTGACAGCGCGAGATCGCACAATCCTGGATTTGTCATTTTTTGTTTTTGTTTTAAAGAAATCGAAAACTTGTGGTCAGCAGAAGTTTTCCGTGGCTGTTTGGAGACTCATCTCTGCGTGCAGCACGCGCCGCGTCTGTGCCATTGATTGGAGCGCTTCGCTGCGCGAGCGCGAGGCTTTTTGTTGTCTGATGATGTCACAATGATGCCGCGCTCTCTCCATTCAAGCGTTTGAACATGCCCACACTCTGCGCGCGCGGATGGACCGAATTTCCCCTGCATGGTGCATATTTTATGCATTATCCTATGTAAACATGTTAGTAATTTGAACGAGAATGTAATGTATACGCAATACAATTGAGACTGAAGTATGGTTAAACAAATCCTAAATTTAAATGCGCACTAATTTAAATTATCTACATTTGTATTTGAGTATTTTTTTCAGTATTTATAAGGATATCTCTTCTGTTTAAAGTCATGTATAGTAATTTATAGTGAAGGAAAAATGTTAACGTTATTTTAGGTTTCATTTAATTGATTTGTTATTGCAATGTGTTGTCTTTAAACGTTTTAAAATGATCTAATATTTTATGTACAACTATTTTAGACTTGTATCAAGCCGAATATTCTTTTATTTACTTATTCTGGGACAATGTAGCTACAACATGACATGTTGTGCCATAGCTATAAAGCTAAATTACATCTCTTGTCGTCGTAGTTACCAAAAGATAAATAAATAAAATTTAAAGTTGATGTCAGAATTATTAGTGCCCCTTTGAAATTTTGTTCTTTTTTTTTTATATTTCCCAAATGATTTTTATCAGAGCAAGGGAGAAAGTCTTATTTGTTTTATTTCGGCTAGAAAATAACAAGTTTTTTATTTTTAAAGAAACATTTTAAAGTCTGCTTAAAAAAATCTGCTTTCCGTTAAACAGAAGAAATGGGGGAAAAAAATAAACAAGGGGGCTAATAATTCTGTTTACAGTTAGTTAACAAAAATAAATAAATAAATAAAAAATACCTTGAATTGAGGTATGTATGTATGTATGTATGTATATATATATATATATATATATATATATATATATATATATATATTTGCTTAACTTATAAATTTGCGTGTACAAATTTTAGACTATAATCATAAGTTATTTTGTTAAATTAGCTCCAGATTTGGCTTTAATACTGACTAGTCTAATGTATATGCACAAATATAATATTGTAAAGCTTCCTATATGTATACATATATAAACAATATACATATATGAATTGTGCTCTTTTTACATTTTTTACTTAATATTTTCCCTTACATAAATTTGAGTGTACTAACTTAGACTATCATGTTATTTTCTTAGATTAGCTTCAGATTTGGCTTCAGTACTGACTTATCTAAAGTATATGCACAAAATATGAATTGAGAGATTTTCAAAGGGTGTACTTATATATGATGAACACTGTGTATATATATATATATATATATATATATATATATATATATATATATATATATATATATATATATATATATGTAACATTTATTTCTATGCCACTTTTTTCTTAAGCAGCTTTACAGAGATTATTATTATAGGAGATTATTGCCACTGGCTAGATAAGCAGAAGAAAAAAAGAAGAAAAGAAAAGATGGCACCACTTTATGGACCCCTGGGAGTCCCCGGCCCTCAGTTTTAAAGCTCCTGTGTTCAAAAAAAAAAAAAAAAAAAAAGAACTCAAAGTGTACAGGTATGCATTATATTTTCCGGATACTTTTGATTTGTCCAAAATGTGATGCTCACAACAATTTATAGAGTCTTTATAGAGTCAATTATAATTGCATATGTTTAGTATTAAAATAGCAAACACATTTACATTTTCCCGCAATATTAAAGTGCAGTAGCTTGTATAAATGTTACACATGAAACATTTTCACCTAATGAAATTCATAGTAATATTTACTTCAATGTTCAAACTACCCTTTTCCTGAAGACATTTTACAGAAGACATAGCCTACAGGCAACAGTAGCCTCCCTCTATAGAAAAACACAAGACAGCACCCCTTTTACGGCCCTTGGGAGTTTTAAAACCCCTGTGCTAATAGAAAATCTGTTTAATTGTGCTGTAAAATAGTGTAAAAGTATACATTACTTTATATATATATTTCCAACACATCTTGCATCACAATCAGTTCACACTATCAAGTTAGATCCTGAGCAGACACTGTTCTGGAGAAGTCTGATTTAAATAACAATGCTCTGTGTATCGATTGCTGATGTGTCAGAAGGTTGCTGTAACACAACAGTGTGTTTGCTTTGCATAAATCAGTCGAACTTGTTTTATACATCAATCCACAGGTAAACATGCTATATTGTCAATAGGAAATGTACGACTTTATTATGTTAACCCTCGACCAAACTGGGAAGAGGAGCAATGCAGTTTCTTCAGCCGTTCACAATCCCCGGTGATTGTTGATCAAGATGTGTTAATGGCTGGATTAAATCTTGTTTTACGACTGGATTACAGTCATTAACAAGAGTTAATGCAAATGCAATGACCTTTGCTCTCTCTCAGACCTTGGGATTTAGAAGAGACGCTTCTCTTAAATCCTAATAGACATTTATTCAGTTAAAACTGAGTAACTGAACATTTACTTACTGTTTACTCTCTCTGATGTGGTTGCACACCTTTATAAGTTTCTCCTGTTGAACATTAAAGAAGATACACTCAAAAGATGATGTTTGTATCATAATTAAAATGAGCTGAAACAACACAATTCTTGAGGGTTTTTTGGGGACAGCATAATTGTTTTATGTTCAGTCCACTTAAGTTTGTAAAAAACAAATAAGTTAACTTCATTTCTTCATGTTGTCCCAACAAATTTAAGTGGAAAGAACATAAAAAAACCCTCATTAAGGAGTTTCTTTCTTCTGTTAAAATCAAAAGAAGATATTTTGAAGAATGCTTAAAATCCCATTGACTTGTGTTTGTGTGTGTGTGTATATATATATGTATGTATATATATGTATGGGTATATGTGTGTGTGTGTGTGCGTGTGTGCGTGTGTGTGTGTGTGTGTGTGTGTGTGTATATATATATATATATATATATATATATATATATATATATATATATATATACACACACACACACCATTTAAAACTTTGGGGTTTGTTTTTTCATGTTTTTTTTTTCTTTTTAAGAAAGTTATTCTGTTCATTTAGGCGGCATTTGTTACATGTAAAAATGTTAAATTGTTAAATATTTATTAAAATTTAAATAACTGCTTTCTTATTGTTTGTGGCTTCAAATTAAACGATTACTTTAGACATTACTGCTTTTATTAC